CCCTCCCACCAGCAGTGGAGGAGTGTTCCCCTTTCTCCGCATCCTCTCCAGCATAAACTGTCATTGGTGTTTTTGATATTGGCCACTCTGACAGGAGTAAGATGGTATCTCAGAGTTGTTTTGATTTGCATTTCCCTGATGGCTAAGGATGTTGAACACTTTCTTATGTGTCTTTCAGCCATTTTAGATTCCTCTATTGAGAATTGTCTATTTAGTTCTGTGCCCCATTTTTAAATTGGATTGTTTGGTGTTTTGGAGAATAGCTTCTTGAGTTCTTTGTATATTTTGGAGATCAGCCCTCTGTCAAATGTGGGGTTGGTGAATATCTTTTCCCAGTCTGTGGGCTGCCGTTTTGTCTTGCTGACTGTGTCCTTTGCCTTACAGAAGCTTCTCAGTTTCAGGAGGTCCTATTTATTGTTGATCTTAGTGTCTGTGCTACTAAATTAACTGAACTTTTAATGAACTCTTTTTGTTTCTGTCCCTAGCTGTCCTGGAACTAGCTCTGTAGACCAAGCTGTCTTCAAACTTAGAGATTTCATGTTGCCATTTTCTAGAAGATTTATTATATATCCAGTGGCACCAGAACTCACTACAGATGGTTGTGAGCCACCATGTGGGTGCTAGGAATTGAACTCAGGACCTCTGGAAGAGCAGTCAGTGCTCTTAACTGTTTAGCTATGTCTCTTCAACCCTCTCCTGGTGCCATTTATAACAGATATCTCTGTTATAGTATTCTTAGTTAATCAGGTGGTTGTGGTGCACGCCTTTTATCCCAGCACTCAAGAGGCAAAGGTAGGAGGATATACAGAGTTCCAGGACAGCCAAAGCCACAGAGAAACCTTCTCTTTAAAAAAAAAAATGGTCTTGGTTTTGGTACAGAAAACCCAACTTATAGTAACTTAAACATATGGCCAATGGAATCAGAATATACAAACTAGCTTCAGGTTTACTTTGACATGTTGACACAGCTATGTAATTAGCTCCAATCACTGTGTTCAGTAATATACAGTACCTACTTTATCACTGGCAGGCTCCTTTCTCTCTTGGTCACAAGATGGCTGCTGGCAATAATACATCAAAGATAATATTTTCTCATTCAAGTTCAACACAAGGAAATAGAATTCGTAGTGTTTAGTGACTTAGGGATTGTTTGAGTTTTCATTGTTCATATTTGCTTTATGCAGTGCTGTCTTAGGGTTTCTATTACTGTGATAAAACAGTGATCAAAAGTAGTATGAGGAAGAAAGGGTTTTGTTTTTGGGTTGTTGGTTTGGTTTTAGTTTTTGGAGACAGGGTTTCTCTCTCTAATAGTCATGGTTGTCCTAGAACTTGTTTTGTAGACCAGGCTGGTCTTGAACTCACTGAGATCCGCCTGCCTCTGCCTCCCAAGTGCTGCTATTATAGGTGTGGGACACCACTGCCCAGCTGAGGAAAGGGTTTTGTTTTTGGTTTTTAACATTTATTGGTTGGTTGATTTGATTGATTGACTATATATACAGTGTTCCTGCAGGCCAGAAGAGGGCACCAGATCTCATTACAGATGGTTGTGAGCCACCATGTGGTTGCTGGGACTTGAACTCAGAACTAGTGTTCTTAACCACTGAGCCATCTCTCCAGCCAGGAAGAAAGGGTTTTGTTTTTGTTTTTTAAACTTTATTTTTATGTGCATTGGTGTGATGGTGTCACAAATTTTAAAATGTAGTTAGGATAATGCTGGTTTAGTAAAGTAATTTAATGCTGGCACTTGGAAAGGCTTAGGCATGCAGATCTCTGAGTCCAAGCATCCCCACCCAAGTGAGTTCCAGGATTATGTAGAGAGACTCTGTCTCAAAAAAATTAAAATAATATAATATATATTACATTCATTTGTTTATAGGGGGTTGCATGTGATAGTTTTTATTTGGATGTCGGAGGACAACTTTCAGGAATCGATTTTTTTCTTCCACCATGTGTGCTCTAGGATTGAACTCGGGTCATCAGGCTTGGCAGCAAGTACCTTTGTCTACTTAGCCTTCTTGCTGGCTCTTTTTGTTATTATTTCAGTTTAATTTTTTAAAAATTTGTGTACATGTGTTTTGGCTGCAAAGATACCAGAGAGGACTCTGAGTTTTACTGACGCTTGTAAGCTGCCATGTGGGTTCTGGGAGCTGAACCCCAGTCTTCTGCAAGAGCAACAAGTGTTCTTAATCACTTCTCCAGCCCTGTTGGTTTGTTTGTTAACAGGATATAGCACTGTAGCTGACCTTAAATTCTAGATCTGATTCAGACTCCCAAGTGTTGGGATTACAGGCAAGGTCTATTGTCCCCAGCTTGAATATTTTTATTTTTGCTGTTTTTTGTTTGTTTGGTTTGTTTTGTTTTTCAAGACAGTGTTTCTCCATGTAGCCCTGACTGTCTTGGAACTCTCTGTAGACCAGGCTGGCCTGGAACTCACAGAGATCCAATTGCCGCTGCCTCCTGAGTGCTGGGAATAAAGGCATGTGCCACTGTGTTTCTGTTTTTAAAACTATCTACATGAGTATAATGTTTGATTTCATACACCTTTTATAATTAAAGGCCTTGGTGACTATAGTATATTTGAAGTTTATTTTCACTGCTGAAGTTGATGGGAGAAATAATATAGATGTTGTAGGACAATAATAGTATTGGAAGGTAGCTCTGTTATCTGTAACTTTAAAAGTATGTTACATGGGGCTGGAGAGATGGCTCAGAGGTTAAGAGCACCGACTGCTCTTCCAAAGGTCCTGAGTTCAATTCCCAGCAATCACATGGTGGCTCACAACCATCCGTTATGAGATCTGGTGCCCTCTTCTGGTGTCCAGATATACATGGAAGCAGAATGATGCATACATAATAAATAAATAAAATCTTTTAAAAAAAAAAGTATGTTACATGAATTTTTGTTTTTTCTAATACTTCACACTCATGCCTATAGTGGGAAATTACCAATACGGAGTCAGGTAGAAATACAAGGGTATTTAATAGTGAAAAAGCCTTACTTACAGAGCAACCTAGCCAGCCGGCGTGACTACAGTCTGTACCCCAAGTACAAAAGTGAAACCGAAAGAGAAACGCAGTCCCCTGAAAGTCTCACCCTGACCACGCCCTCGCAAGCGTGGTCAGTCACACCTGTAGCCAGCCCCTAAGTAGGCGTGGCTACAGCTTCCCCTACACATGCCTTTTGGTTTACAAACGAACTTTATTCTGATCTTCCTTGTGTGTTTCTTTCCATAGGATGGATAGAATGACAGAAGATGCTCTTCGACTGAATCTTTTGAAGAGGAGTTTGGACCCAGCAGATGAGCGAGATGATGTCTTGGCAAAACGACTCAAAATGGAGGGGCATGAGGCCATGGAACGACTAAAAATGTTGGCATTGCTCAAAAGGAAAGATTTGGCAAATCTTGAGGTGCCACATGAGTTACCTACCAAACAAGATGGCAGTAGTGTGAAGGGTTATGAAGAGAAACTCAATGGGAATCTCAGGCCTCATGGAGACAACAGGACTGCTGGAAGGCCAGGCAAAGAAAACATCAATGATGAGCCTGTGGATATGAGTGCTAGACGGAGGTATGGTGCAGTTCAGCTGCCTCCAGAAATAGGGTCTTTAAAATAAGCTTGTGAAAATGGGATGAATTCCAATGAAAGGGAGGTGCTTTTCATCGAGACAGGGTTTCTCTGTGTAGCTTTGGAGCCTATTCTGGCACTCTCTCTGGAAACCAGGCTGGCCTCAAACTCACAGAGATCTGCCTGCCTCTGCCTCCCGAGTGCTGGGATTAAAGGCGTGTGCCACCAATACACATCGTATTTTGTTGTTTTGCATCAGTGTCTCATACTATAGCCATCCTGGTCTTGAACGTTTGGCCATACTCTTGCCTCAGTATCTCAATGTTGGGATTATTGTGTGAGCTACCACATGATATCCTAAAGCTTCTTGAAAGAGGATCTGTGTCCTCTGGGTTGAATTGACCATGAATTCCTCTCATTCCCAGAAGCTAGGTAGCTCACATGAAGAAGTCATAGTTCTTACCTAAGATAAAATGATTATTTCTGGGAGCCAGAGATGTGACAAAGTAATTAATAGTGTTTGCTACTCAGTCATGACCCGATTGGAGTTCAAATCCTAGCTCCCACATTAATTAGTCCACAACCACCTATCCAGTTCAAGAGATCCAACACCCTCTTCTATCCTCTGTGGGTACCTGTACAGAAAACCAATCTACCTTCCTTCCTCTCTCCCTCCCTTTTTGGTTTTTCAAGAGAGGGTTTCTGTGTATAATAGTCTTGGCTGTCCAGAAATTCCTTTGTAGACCAGGCTGACTTTGAACTCAGAGATCCGCCTGCCTCTGCCTCCCAAATGATTATAATAAAGGCATTTGTCACCATACCCAGCCATCTTTTTCTTTTTAAAAAAGGTTACATCTGGCGGGGTAGTGTTAGTGCACAACTTTAATTCTAGTGCTCAGGAGGCAGAGGCAGGTGGATCTTCGTGAGTTCGAGACCAGCCTGGTCTACAAGAGCTAGTTCCAGGACAGCCTCCAAAGCCACAGAGAAACCCTGTCTCGAAAAACAAAACAAAACAAAAAAGCTGATAGAAGTAAGAATTATTTATTCATTTGCTCTTCCGTTTGACCTTGTTTACTTTATATTGGCACTCATCCAAAGCAGGATCTTTATCAAGCTAGACTACTGGAAGAGAGAAGGAAGGGAGGGGTAGTTACAGCCTTACATGTATTTCTTTATCTTGACGAAATAATTAATCTTTTAAATAGCATTTAAAAACCCTTGTAAAAACTTCAGATAGATTCCTTAGTGATCCTGGAAGAAAAGAAACTTCCTTGGAAGCTACAGGTAGATTTGGAGAAATGTTGTATAAATAGGTCAGCCTTTTATTCTTCAGAAAAGATGGCGTTGGAGGAATGAGAACATGTGCCAGAGAGGCTCATTTGCCCATAATCATCCAGCCTTTCAGAGCAAGTGAATGAAATACTAGATAATTTTTTCATGTCTCAAAATGAAGCTATTTAAGTACATTCTTCATAGACAACATTGTTACACCACTTTGATAAGTTGACAGTGCTGTTTTATTTTAAAATTGGAATATGAGATTGGACATGCAGCTCAATAGTACAGTGCCTACTTAATGTGTAAGGTGCCAGGATCAGTCCCAAAGCCCTGAAAACCCAACCATTCTATTTAATTTTATTTGTGGATAATGAACTACAAAATAAAATACTTTGGATGTTGTGGGCATATAGTATAGTAGCATCACTTTCTACTTCCTCACAAGCTGTTCTGTGAGAAGGAACTAAGGAAAGACATGATCTCTTTGATATGAATAAAAACAAGGCCACTAGATAGACAGCTCAGTGGTTGAAAATACTTGTTGCAAGCCAGGCAGTGGTGGCATACGCCTTTAATCCCAGCATTCAGTAGGCAGAGGCAGGGGGATCTCTGTGAGTTCGAGACCAGCCTCCAAAGCTACAGAGAAACCCTGTCTCGAAAAAAAACAAAACAAACCTGGATTGAGTTCCCAGCACCCACACCATCTGTAACTCACAACCATCTGTAACTCCAGTTCCAGGAGATTCAACTCCCCTTCTGACCTCTGAGGACACCAGGCATGCATGTGGTGAACATATCTGTATGTAAGCAACACTCATACACATTAAATAAAATAAATCTTTAAAAGAAAACAAAGAATAAGAAAAATATGGAAGGTGGATTTTGTAACATGAGACCTTCTGTCTTTGTTGGCTAAATACCTCTGATGGGGTGAATTCTGATATCTGAGAAATAGCAGGGGTAAAGTGAAAACTAGTATAACTACTGTTTTAGAATGGTAGAGAAACAACTTTTTTTTCTTACGCTGATTTGTGGTGGGACTTGAACCTGTAGTCACCCATCTGCCAACTGCTCTAGGATCCCAGATCTGCATCATGCCCAGGCAGTCTTTCTTTTTTTATTCCTGGAATAAGAATTGGGAGCTTTAAGATAGGCAGTAGTGGTGCATACCTTCAATCCCAGCACTTAAGGGACAGAGGCTTTGGGATCTCTGAGAGTTCGAGGCCAGCCAGGACTACAAAAAGAGACCCTGTCTTAAAACAAAGAATTAGGAGCCTTGTAGCCTCTGGGAATATGCCAGATTGAAACACAAATGGAGTTTAGCTCTTGTAGACCAGGCTGGTCTCGAACTCACAGAGATCTGCCTGCCTCTGCCTTCTGAGTACTGGGACTAAAAGTATGTGTCACCACTGAAAGGCTTAAATACTCTCTTAACAGATAAAAGTTTCATACGTAAAAGCCTCCAAAAGTGATTTAAAAAATGCTGGACACCAAGCAGTAGTGAAACATATCTTTAGTCTGAGCAATTGGGAGGCAGAGGCAGTGGATCTCTTAGTTTGAGGGCAGCATGGTCTACAGTGTGAGTTCAAGACAGCCAGAGCTATACAGAAAACCTCTGTTGCGAAAACCAAAACAAACAAACTGGGTTGAAGACTTGATTTGGGGCTTTGCCTTATCTATGCCATCTGTCTAATATGTATCTGGTTGTATCTAAGCATAACTTTAGTGTTTTTTCTAGTGTAAGTTACAGATACTGTTACACAGTTCCAAAATGTTCATTCAGGAATGTTTCTGCCAAACATGGTATTGAACAGTCTCTAAGCAATAAGTGACAATCATTTGTATAGGGAATAATGTTTTACCTTAGAAACAGTCTTCTTACAGAATATACTTACCTAGCCAGGACTAGACTTTCATAAAGCTGCTGAATGGTGAATCAAGGAGGGAATTTCCATGCCTCATAATTGCTCACCGATGGCAATCTTAGTGTGAGAGGATTAAGGAATGAGAAATGACAAGTAAAACATGAACACAAAATCAAATTAAGGCACTTTATTTAGGTCTGTTTGGTCTAGAGAACTAAAAGCTCTTTCTCCCTCTAGTGGCATTTTTTTCCCCTGTAACTCCATATTCCCAGCTTGCTGTCTGACTTCTGGCTACAGTGCAATCCAGACACATTTACTAGTCCACAAGGTAGTCATTTTCCTTACTCTCTCTCCTGTTCTTTTTGCTCAGCCAAACTTATTAGTAACTCAGATTTACCCTGTTGAGAAAAGTAAAGACTTCTCTTAGTCATCAGAGATACCTTGTTCAAAAGACTTATTTAGGTGAAGCCAGAAAGGTGGTGCACCATGCTTATACTTCTAGCCCTTAGGAAGCAGAAGCAGGGGATGCTCACTGTAAATTCAAGGTTAGCCTGAGCCACAATGGTTCAGTGGGTAAAGGCACATGTAACCAACGTGATGACCTAAGTTTAATTCTTGGAACTCCCATAATGGAATGAGAGACTGACTCAACAAAGCTGTCCTTTGATCACATCTGCACCCTGGCAATATGTATACATGCATGTACAGAAACTAAATCAATTAAAATTAAAGACATAAAAAAAGGCTTCTTGGGGCTTGTTAATTGATGGTAGACTACTTATCTAGTATGCACAGAGTCCTTATGTCTAAAAAAGCCCTGAGACAAAAACAAAAAAAACCCACACCTTAAGAAAATGATGGATAAGGTTTTTTTGTTGTTGTTTTGTTTTGTTTTTAAAGATTTTATTTATTATGTATACAGTCTATACAATCTTCTGCCTGCATGCCAGCAGAGGGCATCAGATCCCATTCAAGGTGGTTGTGAGCTTCCATGTGGTTGCTGGGAATTGAACCTGGGTCCTCTGGAAGAACAGTCAGTGCTCTTAACCACTGAGCCATCTCTCCAGCCCCCTCAAAACTAATGACGATGAGCTTTTAGGCTTTAAGCTCCCCATTAAATGCAACCTACAACCACACCAACCTAACCTATCTCTGTGTGCTATTTTATCACTGAAAGCTGAAGCTGTATCTTAGTTGATAGAAGGCATGCTTAGGTATCTATAAGGACTTGAGTTGTATCCCCACTTCTAACCACAAAAGAAATGGGGAGAATAACTTCGCCAGGCTCAGTGTTGCATTCTTGCGATCTTGTGAGGACTCTGTCTCACAAACATTTAAAAGTCAGGAGAGGTAGATGATACATTTGTGGATTTGAGAATCTAAGGCAATTGGATTTTTCATGATTCTTTATGGGCTGCATAAAGACATGATTATATTTGAACTGCAGAAATATAAAAACAAGGGTTATCTAATAAATAGATTTGGAAGGAAGAGAAGTCCATGTGTAGGATTTTAGATGCAAAGTAGTTTCTGGATAGTTTCTTTTCAGGGAAGGTGTTAGATACTCTGGCTATTGTGTCTTTTTCCAAGAGGCTGTATACTTTATAGTTGATACTATTCATGTTCTCAAGCCATTGTTCATAACTTCTTTTGCCTTTTCTTTATGACTCACTCTTGACAGGATATACTATCACTTACCAGAGCCATGTTATAGTGTTAGAGTGAGCTATTTCCTTTTTGTTCATCAGTAGATGACTAGATTCTAGTGACTTTGCTCTTTCTCCAGGCCTCTAGATAACTAATAACATAATTAATGCCAGCTCAGTTATGTGATAGTAGGGAAATTAGTTATAATTAAAATGTGGTATGAGAGGACATACTCCAGTTTTTAATTTTATTTTTAAAACAGGGCTCATTATGTAGTCCAGCTGGCCTGGAACTCACTATGTAGACTGGACTTTACTTGAGTGTTGGGATTAAAGGTGTGAACCACCACACCAAGCATGTCATTATTTTTATGTGTACAGCTGTTTTGCTTGTGTGGTTGTCTGTGTACTATGTGCCCATGGTAGCCAGAAGAGAATGTCATATTCCTGGGACTGGAATTAAAGGGACTATGGTAAGCCACCATGTGGGTGCTGGGAATTGAACCTGGGTCCTCTGAAAGAGCTAACTCTGTAGCCAGCCCTTCTCCTCATCCCCCAATTCTTAAAGTGTCTGATCACTTTATATCTTTGTGCCTACATATTGGGCCTGACAGATTGAGATTAGAAAAGTATTTTGCTAGGGTTTTGTCCTCGCTTATATCTTGGTGTCTTTATTCTGGGAATTGTCTCTGTCTTTGTCTTGGCTGAGTCAGGACAGACCTAAGTTCCTTTGGATTTCTTTGTTGTAGTAAAGAAGTTTTCTTAACTTTTTAAAGACCTGTCACTGTTGGAAATACTATAATTTTTTCCTTTTCTCATCCAGTGAGCCAGACCGAGGAAGGCTAACTCCTTCCCCAGATATAATTGTTTTGTCTGATAATGAGGCTTCCAGTCCCCGGTCCAGCTCCCGGATGGAAGAAAGACTCAAAGCAGCCAACCTAGAGATGTTTAAGGTAAAAGAGAAAGGAAGTTGTTTTCTTCTTCCTTTTTTTTTTTTTTTTTTTTTAAGTCTCATGTTCCTTACATTCTGTTTAATTCCCTAGTTTGGGTTTGTATTATTGTTTTAATTTGCTTTTTGGGTCTAAATAACCACCTACTTGATAAGTTCTTTATACTGATTGTCCACAGTGTGCACTTTCAAGAGGTAGCTGTTCAATCAAGCAGAAAAGATAGTTTGCTAAAGCACATCATATCCAATATAATCTTCTTTAGAAAATGAAATAGAACTTCATAATTTAAGTCACATAAAATAAACCCTTAAGTATGACAATATCCTTTGCACTACCCAGAGTCTCAGAATATAGAGGAATTCTTACTTGTTTATTATATCTGCATCAGAGATGATTTTTAAAGATTTAGAGGCCATATTAAAAGAAAACATCGTTTCCTTTTTGTCAGTCATCTGATAGGCATTTATATATAGTCTATAAGTACTTTTTGATTACTCCTGAATGTCAGTCTGAAGGGCTACAAAGATCTAGTCACATCTTCACTTCTTGTTATAGAAGATGAATGCTTCAGAAGAGAAATATACATCATTTCTTACAGAAAGGGATCCTGGGTACTTGTTTCTGTTGCTGACCTACAGTCTTCATGTTTCCTTAGGGGAAAGGCATTGAGGAACGTCAGCAGCTTATCAAGCAACTGAGAGATGAGCTACGATTGGAAGAAGCTCGACTGGTGCTGTTAAAGAAACTGAGACAGAGTCAGCTACAGAAAGAGAATGTGGTCCAAAAGGTAGCATTTCAGGGTGGAGAGATGACTCAGAGGTTAGGAACACTAGTTGCTCTTCCAAAGGACCCAGGTTCAATTCTCAACTGTTTATAGTTCAATTCCAATGGATCTAACACTCTTACACAGACATACATGCAGACAGAACACTAACATACATACAATAAAAACAAATCATTTTTTAAGAAAAAACTTTTTTAAAAAGTGGTATTTCTAGGGCTGGAGAGATGGCTTGGAGGTTAAGAGCACTGACTGTTCTTCCAGAGGTCCTGAGTTCAATTCCCAGCAACCACATGATGGCTCACAACCATCTGTAATGAGATATGGTGCCCTCTTCTGGCATGCAGACATATATGGAGGTGAAATGTTGTATACAAAATAAATAAATCTTTAAAAAAAAATAGTATTTCTAGAAAGAAGGAAAAAGTGTAGTTTGTAGATTGGACTACATCTGGTAGATTCAGCTTTGTGGACCATTCTTGTATGGTTCTGTAGTTAATTAGTCTCTACAAGTAGAGAGATGTAAAAATAGTAGTAATTTTGTTTTGTTTTAACTTAGGTGTTAGTCAAGAAAAACCTTAAGTTGGCATAGTAATGTACATCTCTTATGCCAGCACTTGAAAAGTTAAATTTATGACAGGCATGATGGCACAGGCCTTTAATCCTAGCACTCGGGAGGCCGAGGCAGGTTAATCTCTGAGTTTGAGGCCAGCATGATCTATGGAGTGAATTCCCAGCAGGGATACATAGAGAAATGATGTCGTGAAGAAGTTAAAAAAAAAGATGAGGAAGTTGGAGAGGTAGCTCAGAAGTTACAAGCGCTTGCTGCTCTTAAAGATGATCTGGCTCTGGTTTTCAACGCCCACATGGCATCTCACAACCAGCTGTTAGTGCAGTTTCAAGGGATTTGATGCCCTCTTCTGCCCTTTTGGCCCTCTGCAGCCACCAGGTGGTACATAAGACATAAATGAAGCCAAAACAATTATATACAAAAGTAAAAGAGAGCATGCACCTCACATAGTGATACATGCCATTAATCCTAGCACTTGGGAGCCAGAGCTGAGTGAATTTGACACTGACCTGGTATACATATCGATATCCAGGTCAACCCAGGCTACACATAACAAGACCAAGTCTCAAAGACATAAAAACAAACAAAAAATGCCATAATTTCATTTTTCTCATCTTTATTCCTTATCAATAGGTACTTCGCATTTGTTCTTTGTACATAAGGAAATTTTAAAAGCCTTGAACTTTACTGAATTCTGCCTCTGGTTTTTGCTTTTGTTTGTTTTGGTGGAGGTAGTTGCCTTTTTTCCCCTATAGTCTTATTTTCTATCTCTCCTCCCAGACTCCAGTTGTACAGAATGCAGCATCTATTGTTCAGCCATCTCCTGCACATGTGGGACAGCAAGGCTTATCCAAGCTTCCCTCCCGGCCTGGAGCTCAAGGGATTGAACCTCAAAATTTAAGAACATTACAGGTATGTGACCCATGGTAGGATCTTGCTGTTGGAGCAGTCTCTCTCTCCTGTCTTGGTTGGAACTTTTGTGAAGATTATAGAAGAATTTGAATATGGGACCATCCTGATCTGCATAGTCCCTAGATTCTTTTTTTTTTTTTTTTTTAAGTACGAGTAGGGGGAGTCTTGGAGCTCGAGAGATAGCTTAGCCATTAAGAATGTATGGAGCTCAGTTTGCAGCACCCACTTCAGGTGGCTAGTAAATTGCAGCTCTAAGGAATCCAACACTCTTCTGGCTTCTTCAGGCATGGCATTCACATGCATCTACATACACAGAGAAACACACATAAATAATAAAATAAATCATTAAAGAAAAATTGGAGGGGCTGGGGAGATGGTTCAGTGGTTAAGAGCATTGATTATTATTCTTCCAGAGGTCCTGAGTTCAATTCCCAGCAACTACATAGTGTCTTACAACCATCTATAATGAGATCTGATGCCCTCTTCTGGCATGCAGGCATACGTTCAGACAGAACACTATATACATAGTTAATAAATATATAAATAAAAATTTTAAAGAAAAGAAAAATTGAAGATAGCTCAGTGGTGAAGAGTACTAGCTGCTCTTCCATAAGACCTGGATTTAATTGCTAGCACCTACAAGAGGCTTACTTCTTTCTGTAACTCCATTCTCTTCTTGTCTCCTAGGACACCAGGTATGAACATGGTGCATAGATAATACATGTAGCCAAAACACTCATACACATTTTTAAAAGTAAAATACTTTTTAAAAGGCAAAAACTAAGCTGGGCAGTGTTGGCGCACACCTTAATCCCCAGCATTCAAGAGGCAGGCGGATCTCTGTGAGTTCGAGTCTAGCCTGGTCTACAAGAGCTAGTTCCAGGACAGCCTCCAAAGCCACAGAGAAACCCTGTCTTGAAAAAACAGAACCAAAAAAAAAAAAAAAAACCAGCATAAACTTTCTAGCCACTGATCAGCATTTAGAGTAATGGCACAGGTCCTGGAGAGAGGGGACCTGTTCCTACCATCCTCATGGTAACTCACAACCATCTGCAACTAGTTGCAGGGAATCTGGCATCCTCTTCTGACCACAACAGTGCAGAAATGTTGTACACACACATCATGTAGGTAAAATATTAGTCCTCCGTGTGAAATGAAAATTAAGTAAATCTTAAAACGGGGGAGAGGGGGTCCACTGGAGAGATGGCTCAGAGTTTAAGACCACTAACTGTACTTAGGTCCTAAACTCAATTCCCAGCAACCACATGGTGGTTCACAACCTGTTGTGAGATCTGATGCCCTCTTCTGGTGTGCAGGCATACATGCAGATAGAGCATTAGTATACTTAAATAAATCTTTGCCAGCTGCTGGTGGCCCACACCTTTAATCCCTATACTTCGGGAGGCATATGCAGATGAATTTCATTGAGTTCAAGGCCAGCCTAGTGTACAAAGTGAGTTCCAGGACAGCTAGGAGTATAACACAGAGAAACCCTCTCTCAAAAAACTGAAAAAAGGGGCTGGAGAGATGGCTCAGAATTTAAGAGCACCGGCTGTTCTTCCAGGGGTCCTGAGTTCAATTCTCAGCAACCACATGGTGGCTCACAACCATCAGTTACAAGATTTGTTGCCCTCTTCTGGTGTGCAGATTTACATAGAAGCAGAATGTTGTTTATTTATTTATTTATTTTGTTTTTGTTTTTGTTTTTTTGATTATACATAATAAAATCTTTAAAAAATAAAAGTTTTTAACTAGAGTAATGGTAGGTTTATCCCATTTATTGTTAGACAAAATTATCAAATGTGTGTTCCCATGGTTCTATTTGTGCTGTCCATTATAAGTGGTATAAGTGGTGCTTTCCTTTTGCATTGTATGGGTATTATGTTATCTGTGAGTTCTTTTCCTGTTCTTCCCCTATAGGGTCATAGTGTCATCCGTTCGGCAACCAACACCACCCTTCCACACATGTTGATGTCTCAACGTGTTATTGCACCAAATCCAGCCCAACTTCAGAGTCAGCGGGGGCCACCGAAGCCTGGCATTGTCCGCACCACAACACCTAACATGAATCCCGCCATCAGTTACCAACCAGTAAGAGCAAGCACTGGTATAGAAACGGAAAAATCCTTTATTTGCTTTTCTTATTGATGAAAGAGCCTCAGGTTTAAAGATTTTATATATAGAGAAAGTAAGACAAAAGAGTGATTTGAATAGAGAGCATTCCCCAAAGGGGATAATTTAAGGAATTTTATAAAAATGGTTGTAGAAAAAGTAGTATGTTGTAGAGCAGAGGTAAATTAGCTAAAATCTGCCTTAAGAAAAGGAGATCTTAACCTAGGGGCGAGAGTGGGGTGGAAGTGACATAAATATAATAGTAGTCATGTATGAAATTCTCAAGAATAAATGTAGGTATGAAAAGGAGAAGGAGATGGAGGTGTGTGTGTGTGTGTTAAAGCATAGGTACATGACAGAAAGCATCCCTGGTCTCTTCTTTTTCAAGCAGCTTTAGCTTATAGATACCATCATTCTTCTTAGGTGCCAGGTTTATCTTTTACTGGTGAGTGGAAAGTTCGCTGTTTTGAAGAAGCTAAGCAGCTCAGACTAGGATCATATAGTATCCGCTTAATATCAAAAATTGAGAATTGGTCCTCTCACACTTACCAGCCACCTGTTCTCTATTCCCTTTCAGCAGTCAAGTTCTTCTGTTCCCTGTCAGCGCACAACATCTTCTGCCATCTACATGAACCTCGCCTCCCATATTCAGCCAGGGACTGTGAACAGAGTGTCCTCACCACTTCCTAGCCCCAGTGCCATGAGTGATGCTGCCAATTCACAGGCTGCAGCCAAATTGGCTCTTCGAAAACAGCTGGAAAAGACACTCTTGGAGATACCACCTCCGAAACCTCCTGCTCCCTTGCTTCACTTCCTGCCTAGTGCAGCCAATAGCGAGTTCATTTACATGGTAGGCTTGGAAGAAGTCGTACAGAGTGTCATTGACAGCCAAGGTAACACTTCCTTCTCCTTATGTCGCTAAGCAAGGGGTTGCCAAGCCTCGGGCAGAGAATTAAGTGTTGCTGGGAACAGTGCAGTATTAAATAACTGCTCTTAAAGCCAGGCTATAGTGGCCCACACCTTTAATCCCAGCATTTGGGAGACAGAGGTCAGCCTGGTCTACAGAGTAAGTTCCAGGACAGCCAGGACTACACAGAGAAACACTGTCTCAAAAACAAAACAAACAACAGCAGAAAAAAAACAAACAAAACAACAACAACAACAAAAAACTGCTCTTATCCAAGCCTAATATCTTATTGCTTATAATTCCACCGCTTTGTAGGGGGAGGCAGGATTGCTCCAAGTCCAAAGCCAACCTGAGCTACAGACTTAGACCCTGCCTTGAATTTTTTCTTTTATTTATTCATTGATTAATTGCTTGATTGTTTGGATTTTCAAGACAGGGTTTCTCTGTGTAGCTTTGTAGACCAGGCTGGCCTGGAACTCACAGATACCTGTTTGCCTCTGCTTTCCGGGTGCTGGGATTAAAGATGTATGCCACCACCCCCACCTGGCCCTCTCTTGAAATTTTTAAATTTATTTAGTACTCCTTGAGACTGAAGCTGGAGAATACTGAGAGTCTCAGGCTAGCCTGAGTGGCATAGCAACAGACTGTCTCACAAAGAAAGTTGGAGGTATGCATAAGTAACTGGTGAGGAGGCTGAGACTGGAAGAGTTCAAGTTTGAGACCACAGAGTTTTACATAATGAGACCTTGTCTCTAAATAAATTAAAGCTGCCCCATTATTATTACTGCCAAACCATCTCCCATCAGTTATACAAGCTATTGGGGAGCAATATCTCAAAAAAGAGGGCTAGGGAGATGGCTCAGTGGCTAAGAGGACTCACTGGCTACTCTTTCAGTGGACCTGGGTTTAGTTCCTAGCACCCAGGTAGGTGGCTCACCACCATCCATAACTCTGGAGGATCAGAGACCTTCTTAGGGCATGATACCAAGCACACATATGGTAGACAGACAGACATGCAGGCAAAACACCCATACACATAAAGTAGAAGTAATTCTTAAAAACAAAGTAGAATTTAGAGATGTAGTTCACTTGGTAGAGTAGCTGTTTGTTCTGGGAGGTAGAGATAAGAGGATTATATGTTCAGGGGCATCTTCAGATACATAATCAATTTCTAGATCACCCTGGAATACATAATACATAGAATCCTACACACCTTCTCCCCGAAAAAAATAAAGGGGTGAGGTGAGGGAGGTGTTTGTTGTTGCTGTTGCTTGTTTGTTTCTTTAATATATTGCTTAGTTGTTCTGGCTCACAATTTTGGAGTGTTGTAATACATCATAACAGGCAAGTCAAAGGCATTAGGAGCTTGAAGCAACTAGTGATGTTAAAAACAAAAAACAACTGGGTAGAACTAAGGAGGCAGAGGCAGGCAGATCTCTGAATTCAAAGCTAGCCGAGTTTTAGGACTACATACTGAGTTCCATGACAACATAGTGAGACCCTGTCTTAAAACAAGACAATAAGTTTTAGATTCATTAATTTCAATGAGTGTTTTTCTTAAGTGTATGTATATCTATCTACCATACATTTGCCTGGTACCCTCTCTTCAGAAGAGTGCATCAGAGTCTCTGAACTGGAGTTAAGGGTGGTTGTGAGCTACTATACGCATGCAAGAAGCCAAGCTCCTGTCCACTGTAAGGGCAACAAAGGACTTTTAATTGCTGAACTCCAGTCCCCTGAATTGTTTTGGTTTGTTTTTGTATAGTTTTTTTCAAGACAGGGTTTCTGTAAGTAATGTTGGAGCCTGTCTGGAAACTCACCTTGTGGACCAGGCTGGCCTTGAACTCACAGAGATCTGCCTGCCTTTGCCTCCTGTGCTAGGATTAAAGGCTTGCAGCACCACCGCCTTGCTGGTTTTTTTGTTTTGTTTTGTTTTGTTTGTTTGTTTTTTTAGATTTTGTTTGTGGGGAGTAAAGAGAACGGGGTGGAAGGTATCAGCAAACACATTGGGAGGGCAGGGACAGCTTTGTGAAGTCATTTCTTTCCTTCTAGCTTTACACTGGGTTTCAAAGATGGGACTTCATTCCTTTAGGATTGCCCAGGAAGCACTTTTGTGCTCTGAGCCATCTCACTGACCTGTATAGTCTCTTGAGTTAACGGAATCAACTTATGGGAAGGATACTTAAATGAAGAGAAACAGAAGAGCTGGGAAATGTGGCACCATTAATTATTCTTTTTATTGGTATCTAGGCAAAAACTGTGCCTCACTTCTGAGGGTCGAACCCTTTGTATGTGCTCAGTGCCGCACAGATTTCACTCCTCACTGGAAGCAAGAAAAGAATGGTAAGATCCTCTGTGAGCAGTGTATGACTTCCAACCAGAAAAAGGCTCTAAAAGCTGAACACACCAACCGGCTGAAAAATGCTTTTGTTAAAGCCCTACAGCAGGAACAGGTGAGAATTCTGGCTCCTACTCCACAGTCATCTGAACAGGTTTGGTTTTCTCAAAAGGTTGTTGCTTCTAGTTTGGAGGGGTTACCCATGTAGTTCCGTAGACCTCTGGGTCTGGAACCTAGATAAATAGATTCAAAAACAAAAGGCAAAAAATGAGCCAGGTGTGATGTCAAATATTTGTAATCCCAGAACTTGGGAGGCAGAGACAGTTGGCAGAGACAAGTTCGAGGCCAGGGTATCTATAGAGTTCTAGGACAGCAAGAGCTATAAAGAAACTCTGGGGGGGGGGGGATGCCAAAACAACAGTGACAAAAAAGTACACCTTTTCTTGCCAAGTGTAGTGACACATGCCTTTAGTCCCAGCACTCTAAAGATGGAAACTTGACTTTTCCATAGCTCTGAAGAAAGTCTCACCATTAGCTCTGAATGGCCTGCAACTTGTGTTTCTCCCATCTTTTCCTCTTGAGAGCTGGGATTACTGGCATGCCCCACAACATTCAGGCCCTCTATTCTTCACTTGATTTTCTTGTCAAACAAGTGGATTTGGGGGGAATTTGCTGCATAATTTCAAGTCTGTATCTAAATGGCAAAGGAAAGAATAGATGCTCAAGTAGCCCAGTGAAGATCAGCGGTAATAGAAATGTGTGTGCATTCCTTGTTACTAGGTATAGAATTAGTTTCTTCAAGGGGAAGATGCTCAGATCCTTTTCTCTGTCCCATTTCCCACTCCACTAACCACAAGAGTCTTTAGGAAGTGTCATGAGCAGGAATCAAAGCTAAGATCCTAGTTTAATGGTAGAGCACTGGCTTCCATATCTGAGGCTCTAGTTTAACTCCAGCACTCCATGGTAGTTACATGCAGACATGAATGCATGAATGAATCTCTTGAAAAAATTAAAGAGATAAATAGGACCTCAATGATTCATTACCATCCATCGTCCCCCAGTTATCCTCATGAGAGCCAGCTTTCTGGAGAGAAGGGAATGCTTTTAACCAATAAAACATGTTGACTGCTTATCCCTGGAGATGTCAGTGTAGCCATCTCACCATACTTTTTGCCTTTTCCAAATTACTATAACTAGCTGGCATCATTAGAGATATAAGACCCTTGGTTTTCTAGTTAGAAAATTAGATGCTGTCTTGTCCAATCTCATCTAATAACTCCCAACAGGAAATTGAACAGCGATTACAGCAGCAGGCAGCACTCTCCCCTACTACAGCTCCAGCTGTATCCAGTGTCAGTAAACAGGAGACCATCATGAGACATCATACACTTCGGCAGGTAAGAAACTTTTCTCCAGCCCTGCTTCCTCTTGGGGGCTGCACGTCTGTAGGAAATGGTTCTGTTCTCTTTTACTCCTGTGCCTTTGTCTTCTACTTCAGCTTCTATAATGGCAAGGTTTCATCAACTGTCCCCTTGTTGCAGGCTCCTCAGCCTCAGAGCAGCCTCCAGCGTGGTATACCCACATCTGCCCGTTCCATGCTTTCAAACTTTGCACAGGCACCCCAGTTGTCTGTGCCAGGTGGCCTCCTTGGTATGCCAGGTAAGATATCTCACCGGGTTGACTAGTTAGTGGACAAGTCCTTGCTTTAAGGATCTTGTATAGCTTAGGCTGGCTCTGAGCTTACTGTGTAACTCCTTCTGCCACTCCCCCACCCTGAGTGCTGAAATTACAGACATGTACCTAGCTTTAGTGCATAGTCCTTTTTGTGCACAGGACATACATGTAGTATGGGTGCATGGATAGAGAGTAGAGGTCAATCTTGAGTGTCACACCTCGGGAGCTACCCACTTGGCTTTTGAGATAGAAAGCAGGTTTGCTGGCCAACAGGCCTCAGAGATCTGCCTCCCATTGCTAGGATTATTATGAGCATGCATCACCAAACCCAGCCTTTTTTTTTGTGGCTGCTGGGGATCAAGCTCAGGTCCTCATAGTTACATGGCAACCACTTTCTTTCCTTTAGTTTTAGTGTATATGTGTATTTCACCTGCATGTATATTTGTGTACCACTTGAATACCTAATGCCCACAGAAGCCACAATAGGGTATCTGATTACCTAGAGCTGGAGTTACATACATTTGTGAGCCATCATGTGGGTTCTGGGAATCAAACCTTAGTCCTCTGAAAGAGCATCCCATGCTCTTAATTGCTGGGCCATCTTTAGCCCCATGTACAATTTCTAGCATCCCCTTTAGGCCCGTTATTCCTTTGTTTTCTGTTTTCTCCTCAGGGTGTAAGTATTCTTGATATTCTGCAAATAAATTTTTACTGAGTCATATGAGTATTCTAGGACTTTGGTGGTGAGAAAGAATAGCAGGGTCACCACCATTATATATTTAATTCTGATGTGCTTTCATTGTAATGTGAGTTTTTATTTCTGTAGGCTAAAATAGTAGTGTGTACTGTCCAACATGAACGATCTAGGATTCTCCATACTTAGTTGTCCCCAAATCAGAGCAGATCATTGATTCTTTTCTTTTTTTGGAAGGGGGCAGGGAGCGATTCAAGAGAAGGTTTCCCTGTGGCTTTGGAGGCTGTCCTGGAACTAGCTCTTGTAGACCAGGCTGGCCACAAACTCACAGAGATCCACCTGCCTCTGCCTCCTGAGTTCTGGGACTAAAGGCGTGCACCAACAACGCCCAGCAGATCAGTGATTCTTTCTCTTTCTTTCAATCATTTTTCTCTCACCACTGTTTAACCTTTCTTCTATACTATACTATAAAGACTTTTCATTGTTCCTGATCGGGCTGACATTTCTGGAGGAGCTCTTCTCCTGAAGCTTGGAAGTAAGAGTATAGCTGCTGCTGAAACAAAACTAGCTGAGGCTAGACAAGTACAGGACAGTACAGATGTTTCCTCCCCATCTCTGCCTCTACAACTGGATAGGACAGAAGGTGGTGTCACTTCTCTTAATACCTGTCCTCTTATTTTGTCTCCCGAATCTAGGTGTCAACATTGCATATTTGAACACTGGCATCGGAGGACATAAAGCCCCCAGTTTGGCAGACCGGCAGCGTGAATACCTTTTAGACATGATCCCTCCCCGGTCTATATCTCAGTCCATCAGTGGACAGAAATAACGCCTGTTCCACTTGTACTGCCCATCCTTGAATCCTTTACCCATTTCTCCTATTGCCCCCAACTTCCGTCGCATGCAGTGCCTGTACTGGTGCCTACCATACACGGAAAGCAAAACCGAAAAAACAGAAGACAAAAATAGACATCAACAAGAAAACACACGCCCTGCCACCTCCCCTTTATTTCACACTGCTGCGATCTGTTCTCCTGCTGCTCTGTCTTCTCTCTTCAGTTTTCTTTAACAGTGAGGTGGATCTTTGCCTCTGATAGAGGTCAGAATGAGGTCCTGGGGAGAATCCAAGTCCTTTGATGTGTGTTTCTAAAGTTTGTTTATGCTATAATTATTATCATTTTTAATTATATTGTGTGTCTTCCCTTTGTTCTGTGGACGGTTAACACCCCTCATCTTCTGTTTTCTTTCCTTCCCTATCTCCCTTCTGCTAATATTCCCTCTTAAAAAAAAATACAAATGATATACAGTTCAGTGATCACATGCAGACTGCAGTGGATCCTCAGCTGTCAAATAAGACATAACTGAGAATGTTAGGGACAGAGATTTTGAATGCACTTAACCTGAGTTATGGAGTGGGTATCATCAAGCAAGTAGGAATAGCATCCCAGCTATGGTTGGTCAGGATCTGGACAGTTTGGGAGGCAATGTTTTAGTAATAAAGTGTTGGGCTCTTTAAGAATAAGGAAAAGAGCTTGGAGGGAGAAGCTTAACACAAAAAACTACCTGTAGGGAGATGGGGAAAAGGGTGTGACACCACGATCAGGTCCTGGCCTCAGCAGCTGGGGGAATAAGATTGTCTCCTAACCCCGCTGAGGACACAGAAGTCTGTTGCAGGCTAACCATCCCAAGACTGTTCATCATATTTTCTTTATAAAAATTGTCTCACATCACATCTTCATACCCTCTTAGCAAATGTTAATCTTTCTTCTAACTATAGTCTCAGAGGAATGACTGTGTCCAGGCTGCAGGTGGCTGGGTGTCCTAGAAGTTGGAATAGGCATAAGTGAATCACGTGACAGAAAGAGAAACTAGACATAGAGGAAGAGGAAGTTTCTCCCAGCAGTTGAGATCCTCGAATTTTTCTATCCTGTACCCTCTTGAGTGCAGAGAAATGGGGTGTTGGCCCCTAATCAGGTTGGTGTCCTGCTCCACCTCTGCTACACTGACTATAGATCCAACTCCTCAGATCCAAGCAACTCTTGTCAAACCAGCTTTGGACCTCAGCTATATAAGTATTGTCTTCCCCAAGCTCCTCTCCCCAAAATTTTATTAATTTTGCCTTTTTGTTTTTTTTGTTTTTTGTTTTTTGTTTTTTTCTTAGGCGCTACTAGTGTAGAGAATGAATTGAATTGTGCAATGTTGCTGTTCTGGGGTTAGGGAGGTTAGCATCCTATTTGCCCACACTGTGGCAAGGAGGAGGGGACCAAGCTGTTTTTGAGGTAAGGGAAGCCTGAAAATGAAGGGTTTCTGCTCTCCTCAGAGTGTACATGCACCTGCCTCTACAGCTCTAGAAGCCGTCAGAGTGTACTGGGGACACTCTGAGCAGATGTATGATGAGTTGTGTGATATTTTGCCCTTGATAGCCACCTGAGGAAATTCCCTCATTTTTATTTTTAAAAACTAAATAATTTTTTTAAAGTAAGAAGGCACTTTTAAAATTGTTCACACAAACTGCACACCTTTCCCATAAAATTTGGGGGTAGGGTGGAAAAAGAAGCTAAAAATCAAGCTCAATTTCCCTACTTTGGTCTCTTTTCCCAATACTCCAGTGCCACTGTGGGTGATTATACTGGCCCTACGGGCCTTCCTGGCTTTTTTCTTTCCTCCCTTTCCTTCAAATTCATTGAGCACTTAATAAAGGAGCAGAGATACAGCTGTGTCTGGGCTCCCCAAGTGGTGAAGTGACCTGGAAGCTAGATGCTAGTAACAAGTAGTTTGAGCAGGTCATTTCAAGTATTTTTCTGGGGAATGTGGTGTCCCTGACTGTAAGTGGTGGGGAGGGAGGGGGGCTAATGGAGCTGGGTCGGGATTATTTTAAAATTATATACATATATATATATATAAAGATATATTCTTACATCTTTTCTTTGCCCTCTGTGCTTTGAAAGCACTGGATAAATTGATTCTGTTTTTCTCTTCCACAAAATGGGAAGATTTTTTTGCTCCATTTTTTATATGTTTTTCTTAGCAGTCATCTTGCCTTGTGGCATGTCTGTCTAACCTCTCCCTACCCCATGATGAAGTGCCATTTCTGTTAAGTCTCCCTGACCCCCAGCTCAGAGGTGCTCAGAGGTACAAGGTGCCCAAGTTTGTCAGTTGAGATTAAAAGGAACAGAGAATGTGCAATACTGTCCAGCTGGGGCCTGTCCCTGCCCTGAGCTAGGTTCTCTCCATGGGAGCCAGGCCACTTTGAGTAGGGTTTGGAAGTAAGATGTATAGAAATGGGGAATATTGGGGAAGGAAAGCCCATATAGTACAGTGCCTATGTAGGTGCTGAGGCCATAGGGGAGAGGGTACAATCTTCCCTGTTTTTATCCCTTCAGGGTCAATTACATAGAAGCTGCTTATTAACTAGTATAGCTCTGTGGCCCTTTGCTCAGTCGCTGAGGTTTGATTTCTCCTCTTTTACCCCATCTTCATGTCCTTCCCAGGAATTAGTGAGAGGGGTGAAATCTTTCTTAATCATGGTAAAGTGTTAGCCTTCCATCTCCTCCCTCACTCCCTGCCCGTCTCCCTTCTTCAACCTCTACATTTTATATCATTGATTGCCTTGTGTTCTTCCAAGCCTTTTTTTAAAAAAGCTCTCATCCTCAGGCCATGGGCCTTTAACACTAACCCTCATGCCCTAAGGATAGGAGAAAAGGCTCTGAGTTCAACTGTCCTTTACCATTGGACTTTGACTCAGGTGTCAGTAGAGTGAGGATCCAACCAGTACACTCTGGCTTCCTCTAGACCCTGAGGCACTAAAAGCAGTCATTCATGGATGGTGTCTTACTCTGTAGAAACCTGAAATGGGTGGATTAGTGGCAAGGCTGGGGTGAAATTAGGAGACAGAGGTCCTTATTTGTCAGTTTTATTTTGTCACTGACCATAGCATCTGAACTCCCCCCATCGCTGAATAAGTATTTTTCCTGCATTTTGGGATATATGTATGGTAGACATTTCTTTTTAAAGACACCGAGATAAATGTTTCCCTGCCTTGGTTCCTTCCCTTGCCCCTTTCAAAGGTATTAGCTATAGAACTGCTTTGTAAAGATGCTTCCTGATATTTACTTTTTGTTCCTTTCCCTAAACCATTCCCATTTCTCCCTGTTTTCTAGAAGGCGTAACCCTTCTCTCCACAGCCCCTTACCCCACTCATCCTAGGCTCCCTTCCTTTCCATCAAGACCTTCATTAGCTTATGATATTTGCTGCCGAGATGTTATAACAAGGACTCATTCGTGTATATAAGCTATTTCTTGATCCATTTAAAAGGAATTGTACATTGTGTAGAAAAAAAAAAAAAACCTGAAAAAAGAGAAAAAAAAAGCCCTAGCCATGGATATTGTGAAACTGTGTTATGTCATTTTGTAATGTGCCCGTTTGTGTATGATCCGTGCAAAAGGGTTTCTGGGGAAGGGGAGGGTGTAGGGAGGCAGGGCTGTGGAGGGTGGGGAGAGGAGTGGGCCGGACCCAGCACACTGAGACTGGCAGCTGCTCCAACCCCATCCCTCCTTAAAGATGCCACCTCCCCCACCACCCACCCCTAATTTGTGCCTTGCCCTCCCCACCCTGGAGTAATCCCTCCAGGTCACCAGCACTGCCTTTGCAGAGCCCACCTCCTACCCTAACCTGCCCACTCTTCCTACCCCAGCATTAGGTTGATACTGTGGGGAAGTGCTGGAGGTTGGGAGGTAGCTGAGGAATGGGGCAGTTCCTGGGGGCATCGGAACCAAGTATTATTATGAATTGTAATTGTATTTGCACTGTTTTCCCCCTCTGATTGCATCAGCATATATACAATATACCTATATAACAAAACCCAGTGTCAAAGCTTTCTTATGCAAGAGATTTCCCCCACCCTTCAGAAAAAGAACCTCATGGACCTCTGAAGGGGTGAGCTGTCAGGAGATAGTAGCAGAAAGGAAGGATTCTAGTCATCCTAAGGGAGTTACCTGTACCATTGTAGGCTGTGTGGATCGAGGTGAGGCTGGCTCTTAGGAACTACAGGGCTCCAGGATTGTAGAAAAGTAAGAATCCATGACAGAGGGAGGCACAGTGTGGATACCTGGGGCCTACTGACTTGCTGTGTGATCTTTGGTGGAACTCAGTGTCTTCAACCTGTGAAATGAGGGAGGAAACCACTGGCCTCCATGCTTAAAATTCTACAATTCTTCCCCATTTGCCAAAAAAACAAAAAGCACATTGAGGTGAGGAAAGTGCGGGCTGAAGGACCAGGGAGGAAGTAAAGATTGACTTGCTAGTGCTGCTTATGTTGACAATGTCCTTGAAAAGTTGCCAGTCCCCTGCTTCAATATTGATCTAGGAGAGGTGGCAGTGATAGGATTTTAAACCAGTGACATCTTGACCCTTGTGTTCTAGCCATGTCATACAGGAACCAGACTCCAAGCCTCACCTCACAATCACAGAGTCCTTAAGGATGGTTACCCACTGAATGCCCCCAGGTGATCTAGTTGCTGTCTTTGTGAGCTATAGGATGTGGAATTTCCCTCATCGTGGTGACAAGGAGAGCTCAGATGGAGCCCACATCCTTCCTTCCCTCAGATCTCATCTGAATCCCCAAAGGCAACTGTTCACAGTCTGTCTCCTTCAGAGGCCCAATGCCCTCATTGCCTAGGCTGAGTGTTTCTACTTTTAAGTTATTGACTCTAAAGCCTGGAGAGAGCATAGGTTGATGGGTGAGGCCTTGGTGAAGGTGGAGGATAGATTGGGGAGGGTGGTGGGGAGCAGGGAGGTGGGATTCTTTTTTTCTTTTTTTAAATAACATTCTAATTTTCTGCATTGTGTTTGGGAAATAAAATGGAAAAACTAAGACCAATAGGAACTGGTTTTCAAAAGGTAAATACACTCCCATCTGTTTCAGAGGCTGCTGCACATTTCAGCAGTGAAGATTCAAATAATAAGCTAATTTTTGGAGAAAGGATTAAAAGAAAAAACTTTGTAATATTTATCACTTGCAAGCTATGTTTAATAAAGAAAGGAATGGTTTCTAAGCTTTCCTGTGGCTTGTGCTTAGTTGTGGCCGTGGTGGGAGTGGTTTGGTGGGAGAATCTGAGGAGTATTGATGGATGAGCTATGACTTGTGCTCCTGCATTGCACAGTAATGCCTTTGGCTCCTACTTTTTTTTTTTTTTTTTTTTTTTTTTTTTTTTTTTTTTTTAATACTATTAAAGTCCTTACCCACCTCTGCTGTTGTTCCTTTTCCCCTCAAGGACCCTACTTCAACTATCTGACTTAGAGTCCAAAGGCATTAGGAGTAAGTCAGGCTTGGTATATACATTCTGACTGGCCCTACACATACCACCCTCACACACTTGAAGAGTATAGTAGAGTATAACTATTGGCAGCTGGTTTCTCTGGACAGTGATCTTAGCATCAGAGATTAACACCAAACCTTAACATTTGGAATGCATCTTCCCCCAGAAAGGCCTAGAATTGCTGTTGCTGTCTCTTAACACTTATCTTTTTAAACCTTGTATTTTCTGGTCCTTTCTCATAGGGACTTTTCATAAGTGCCCTTCACTTAGAACTACATGGATTTGACACCTTTGTTTATTTGTTTTTTGAGACAGAATTTCTCTATGTAAGAGCCCTGGCTGTCCTGGAACTCACTTTGTAGACCAGGCTGGCCTTGAACTCAGAGGTCCTCCTGCCCCTGCCTCCTCAGTACTGGGATTAAAGGCGTGCACCACCACCACCACCACCACCACCACTCTTGAGTCTTTAGCATGAAAACTTTAGCAGGGACTTAACAGTTCAGGCCTGTAAATTTTAGCTACTTAGGAAGCTGAAGCAGGAAGATCCCAAGTCCCAAGCCTGTCTAGGGGCTAGTATTATAACTCCGAGAGATAGCATACTGGCCTAGCATGTAAGAGGCCCTAGACTAAATTCCCAGCACCATAAGTCATAGCAGTACAAATGAGCACATTAGACACCCCTGCAGTCTCAATGCTTGAGAGGTGGAGGCAAAAAGGATGAAGAGTTTGAGGCCAGGCTGGGCTTCGCTTCTAGAGAACCCAGGTTCTGTTCTAGCATTCATGTCAAGCAGCTCTAGAGACTTTCACACCCTATTCTGGTTTCCATGAGTGCTCAAGCGCATACACACACAGTGCTAAAAAAATTATTTTTCCTTTTTTTCTCGTGTTTTAGGTCTGTTTACTGTGTGAGTGTTTGCTTGCATGTCTATACACCATGTACATGTCTGGTGCTTGCAGAGGTCAGAAGAGGGCATCAGATCCCCTAGAACTGGTGTCACAGATGATAGTGAGCCACCATGTCAGTGTTAAAAGCCAAACCCTGGAGCCGAGAGGTAGTGGTATATGCCCTTAGTCCCAGCACTCAGGAGGCAGAGGCAGGTACATCTCTATGAGTTCAAGGCCAGCCTGATCTACAGAGCTACTTCCAGGACAACCAGGGCTGTTACACAGAGAAACCCTGTCTTGGAGAAAAGAAAGAAAGCAGAGCCTGGTCCTCTGCAAGAACAATTGACTTTAAAAAAAAATCCAGGCAATTTGAGTGAGACACTGTCTCAAAAAGTTGAAAGGGTTGTGACTAAGTACAGTGCTTACCTAGCATGTACAAGGCTCCAGGCTAATTCCTCAGCACAATTAATTAACTAATCAATTAAAAGTTTTTCAAGGGTTGGTATACTGTCTTACACTTGCAGCAGATGCTGTCTACTTAGAGCCTGCCTCAGGCCAGGAGCTGCTCAGATTATAGCTGCTAGCTAAAAAACTCCATTTAGTCAAGTTCCTCACTGTTGGGTAATTTTTTTCTAATTTTAAGATTTATTCATTTATTATATATAGTGTTTTGCCTGCATGTATGCCTGCAGGCCAGAAGAGAGCACCAGATCTCATTACAGATGGCTGTGAGCCATCATGTGGTTGCTGGGAATTGAACTCAGGATCTCTGGAGGAACTGCCAGTGCTCTTATAACCGAAGAGCCATCTCTCCAGCCCCCCACAGTAGGGGAATCTTCCAATCTCTTTGGTCTATAGTTAACATGTCCACATTCAGGACACTGTTCTGTGAGCCCCACAAACATCATCGCCTCACTTAGTGCTTACTGTCACTTTCCCCGTAGACAAAGTGGCAGAACCTAGATTCTGTCTTGATCTCTGTAACCCTGACTAACTAACAACATTAACCCAAACACTGTGAGTTCCTTCAAAGTCTGGGAAAGTCTGTCTCACCCTGGGCATGCCACAAAAAGCTCCTACCCCAGGCAGGGTCCCCCATGGGTGAACAAGTTACCCGTGAGCGGTTTGATCTCAGCCCCTGACCCTCTGCTCTTCCCAGAGTCTTCACAACCAGCTCCTTTCCTGGCCTTGATGCAGCCCTTAAATGCTGGTTACTGGTTGCCTTCTTCCCATAAGTAGGCACCTGCTGTGGAGTGGTAGCGGTAGTGGCACACATCTCTAATCCCAGCACTCAAGGCATGTGGATCTCTTGTAAATTTGAGCCCAGCCTAGTCTACAAAGGAAATTCCTGGACAGCTAGAGATGTTACACAGGAAACCCTCTCTTGAAAAACAGATACATATATAGGTAGACAACAGATGATGGACAGGCAGGCACCTGCTCCTCCTGACTCCCTTGAAGATCACTGGTCATTCATGCCCCTGCAACTTGGCCATGAACATTTAGTATACCAGAAGCTTGGTAGCCTGCTTAGGTGGCCCTTTTGTCCTACATGGGAAGGTGGGATATAGTGGGTGGGAATGGGGATAACAGTCCCTGGGGACCCCCCACTGGGCTCCTCCTCCTTTCTCAGAAGAACCCATTCCCTACCCTTGGTGTTGCATTTCTCTTCCTTTTAAGATTTTATTTATTTCTTATGTATACAGTCTTCTGCCTGCATGCCAGCAGAGGGCACCATATCTTATTACAGATGGTTGTGAGCCACCACGTGGTTGCTGGGGAATTGAACTCAGGACCTCTGGAAGAACAGTCAGTGCTCTTAACTGCTGAGCCATCTTTCCAAGCCCTGTTTTTGTTTTTTTCAAGACAGGTATTCTCTATGTAGCTTTGAATCATGTCCTGGAATTCACAGTAGAGCAGGCTGGTCTGGAACTCCAGAGATCCTCCTGCCTCTGCCTCCCGAGTGCTGGGATGAAAGGTGAGCACCACGACCACCCAGCTGCTTTGCATTTGTAAGTCAGTTCCAGATCAGAGATCCCATAGTGTCTCTTTTCCCTTCAATCATTAATTTAAAAATTATTGGAGTGGAGAGATGGCTCAGGGTTTAAGAACACTGACTGTTCTTCCAGAGGTCCTGAGTTCAATTCCCAGCAACCACATGATGGCTCACAACCATCTGTAATGAGATCT